AGCGGAGCAGAGGGGAAGAATCACCTCCCTTGACCTGCTGGTCATGCTTCTTTTGATGCAGCCCAGGATACAGTTGGCCTTCTGGGCTGCAAGTGCACATTGCTAGCTCATGCTCAGCTTCTCATCTAGCCAACACCCCCAAGTCTTTCTTTTCAGGGCTGCTCTCTATATATTCTCCTCCGAGCCTGTATTTTTGCCCCCATCCGTGTGCAGGACCTTGCAATTGGCCTTGTTGAACTTCATGAGGTTTACATGGGCCCACCTCTCAAGCCTGTCAAGGTCCCTCTGGATGGCATCCCTTTCCTCCAACATGTCAACTGTGTCTTTGGAAAACTTGCTGAGGGTGCACTCAATCCCATTGTCCATGTCTCCCACAAAGATGTTAAACAACACTGGTGCCAATACTCACCCCTAAGAAACATCACTCATCGCCAATCTCCACCTGGACATCGAGCCATTGACAACTCTTTGGGTGCAACCCTCCTGACAATTCCTTATCCACCGAGTGGTCCGTCCATCAAATCCATGTCTTTCCAACTTAGTGACAAGGATGTCATGTGGGACAGTGTCAAAGGCTTTTCAGAAGTCCGGGTAGATTATGTAGTTTGCTCTTCCCTTATCCACTGTAACCCTGTTGCAGAAGGCCACAAAGTTTGTCAGGAACAATTTGCCCTTAGTGAAACCATGTTGGCTGTCCCAAATCACCTCTTTATTTTCAGTGTGCCTTAGCATAGTTTCTAAGAGGATCTGCTCCATGATCTTGCCAGACATGGAGGTGATACTGACTGGTCTCTAGTTCCCCAGGTTTTCCTTTTTTCCTTTCTTAAAAATGGGGGCTATGTTTTGCCTTTCCAGTCAGTACGAACTTCCCCAGACTGCCATGACTTATCAAATACGATGGATAGTGGCTCAGCAACTTCATCTGCCAGTTCCCTCAGGACCCACAAAAGTATCTCATCTGGTCCCATGGACTTGTGCACCTTCAGACTCCTTAGGTGGTCTCGCACCTGATCTTCTCCTACAGTCAGCAGTTGTTCATTCTCCCAGTGCCTGCCTTTGCCTTCTGCAACTTGGGTGGTGTGGCTTGAGCACTTGTCAGTGAAGACCGAGGCAAAAAAGTTGTTGAGTACCTCAGCCTTCTCTATATCCTGGGTAAGCAGGTATCCTGATTCCTTCTGGAGAGGGCCCACACCTCTAGTCTTCCTTTTATCACAGACATACCTATAGAAGTTTTTCATGTTGCTCTTGATGCCCCTGGCCAGATTTAATTCTATCAGGGCTTTAGCTTTCCTAACCTGATCTCTGGCTGCTCTGATGATTTCTCTGTATTCCTCTCAGACTACCTGTCCTTGCTTCCACCCTCTGCAGGTTTCCTTTTTGCATTTGTGTTTGTCCAGGAGTTCATTGCTCATTCACGTAGGCCTCCTGGCATTTTTGCCTCTTTGTTGGGACGCATTGCTCCTGAGCGTGGAGGAGGAGATCCTTGAATATTAACCAGCTTTCCTGGGCCCTTCTCCCCTCCAGGGCTTTGTCCAGTGGGATTCTACCAAGCAGATCCCTGAAGAAACCAAAGAGGTGTGCATCTTGATGTAATTTTGCCCTTCCACAGATTTTTAGTCTTTATTCTTCTTTAGGCCTCTTATGTGGAAAATACGCATAGATATATTTACCAACAAAGTATCAATAGGAAGTAAATTGTCTCAAAAATCCTCTTCATATTTTATCTAATCTTCAAAATTTAAATAAATACTAAGCAGAACTAAGACGGAGAGGGAAAAGATGTTAATATTTTTATTTTAAGAAAATTCCATTAAGAAAACAGAAAAAGTATTGCATTATCTCTCATTAATCTAAGATTGACAGATTATTTTGTAATTGGCTCAGTATCAAATCACAGATACATTTACAGGCTGAAGTATGCACAATGGCACTAGTCCTAATTTCTATTACAGCCGTGGCACATTACCAAGCCAATGAGGGAACCTTCAGGTGTAACAGATAGAAGAACTTGGCCTCTTCACTTCAGAAAATTATTTTCTCCCATTGCTTACTTTCCAGCCTTGTTGTTATGTTACTAATCATGCTGTCCACAGAACTAAAAAGCTTTCAAAGAGACTCCAGAGAGTTCGTAGCTAAGATATTGTGCCTGTTACGTCAAACATTAGATTTCTAATTTATTACCAATAAAGCAAGAAATCTTTTAATGCCAATATGAGGTTTGAACGTTCACCCTAATAGAATAAGAATGCTGCTGCATGCTTTCCAATACCTTTCCATCTTAGCTAAGTGACCTTTACTACCACTGAGGTAGCTGTTATCCTGTTAATGCTGCCCTGTCTCCAAAGATAGGTTAGGTGATAGGTTAGAAGTCTACGCTTCCCTTTTCATGAACTGACTTATGCAAAGTTGATATTTTGCATCTGTGATCTCAAAATGCTTATTCTCTTTGTCAGGGTCTGCATATCAGCTCAGAGGATTTGATAATGAAATAAGCACCACAGATAACAATTTCATTTCTAACTACTTTTTTCCCAAAGACTTGAGAAATAAGGCAAGCTTTTCTATACCAGTGAAAATATCTGATTCAGGTATTCACACTGTTTTTTCAATTGTCTCAACATTGCATACTTGAAAGTGTCATGTGGGTCAAAGCATTTTCTGGCATGTATGTTACTGCTTCCACCACTAGTGCTACTTCTTTGTAGTTATTCATCAAAATGCTGATTCCAGAGGAGAAACTGTTCTAAAAGTACGCTATCACCTTCACTCAGTTTCAAAGATAGCCTGTGTCTTATGACAGCTCTTTTTCCATTTACATGTCAGTATTAAAAACTACAACTGGAATCCTGCTGCATCTTAATATTTCCTTTATTTGGATGATAAAGCCATTTTAAAGACAGACAACAACACTAGTGGAAGCAACTTATATTTTCATTTGGGAAAAATAGTTAACTTTCAGTCTAAGTGTACTTCGAATGCTACTGCAATGCAAAATGTCTGTTGTTTCATAATAAAGCTCTCACTGTTGATTTTACAGATCATGAGTGTGTAGCCTTTAAGAATGTGTGACTTTCTGCAAATAAAATGTAGCATACAACTTTTCCTATATGCTGGTAAACTCTTTTCAAAGAGGAGAACCCAGGGGTAGCATTGACAAGGATATTTTGCTTTGTTGCCATGAGGAAAAAAACAGGGCAGATGAGTCAAGGAAATTCCTGCTTTCTTAGGTCATTGTTACCAGTATAAACATTTGTAGCATAATGCAGGATCCTTAACAGTGGCAGACTCCTGTGAAGTGCTGCAATGGTGAGTTCAGTGAAAATCAGTGAAAACTGAAGGGTTCATCCAGAATGAGTACTTCAGGGTGCAAACTAAGGTAGAACTTAGGAAAACTAAAAGTAGAAAAGGTAGTCTTGTAAAAGATGGAAGAGAAATGGGCAATGAAACAGCAAAAATTACTTTAATTTATGGATAAGTAGGATTCTGTTGACATTTCTGTATTTGACACATGCTAAGGAAGCTATTCTATACTGGTATTAGCAAAATTTGATGAAGACAAGCCAGTATCCTACTGAACTGATCATGGGAATAGTGACGAGATCATTAACCTCTTCTTCCTCATTTAGTATTACGTTTTGGACTAAGAATGTCTAGAATGGCAGATTCCTAACAAAGACATTTCTTCATTATGAATACTTTGCTGTTGACAAATTTGGCTTGTCAGTAAAGATAAATCCTAGTTTGGCTCAATGTTCATACTTGTTGGTGGTACAATTAACTTAACAGTTACTAGTACTGCTTGGGTTTTCTTATATTCTGAAAACAGTGATTCAACTCATATCCACCAGAAACCAGTGAAAAAATGAGCTAGAGTCTTCTGATTTATTTTATGTTTAATAGATACTGGAGGCAAATGGAAAAGTTATATACAGAGCAGCATTTTACACAGGAAATCATTAAGAAAACCCCACAAAACTATTGTAATGCACCAAATCAGTTTCCTTTTCCCTTCTGTCCATCAGAAAAGCAGGCAAAAATTTTTCATTACTTTTAAATTTTAGAGAATATATTTCCTTTTCGCTTAGGGTTTAAGTATCAGGTAATGCAGTGGTAGAGCTGCATACACATGCCTCACCTTTCTCAGGGAGATTTTTTATTTTTGTCTTTTTTTTAAGACAACAGACATTATTTCAGTTAAATAAGAATTTCACTTCTGATGCGAATTAAAAATATGGTGAGTCATTTAACAATTCTGCCTCTAGTCTGGTACAGAATGTGCAAAGATTTGGCCCCAGCTAGTATTTACCAGAATGGCAAATAAGAAAATCACACTGAAAGATAGATGCCACACTCATCACTGCTGCTGGAAACTGGCCAGTGCACGGAAAGACGGTGAACTGAGGGCATTATTCATTTCAAAGCCCTCTTGATTTGCCTGGCACCTCACCCTGTCTCTTTTTGAAAATACAGGTTATTTGGCTGCAGCTCCTGCAGTGAACCCACACTTTTTATCTTCCTAAAGGTCTTGTCCAACAAAACACTTACTCATCTAATATGCCATTTATGGAAAATATAGGTAGCATCGTTCCACTCAGCAAAAAAAAAAAAAAACAAAAAAACAAAGCCCACGAAGCTCCATAAATCCTGCAGTTCCAATTCTGAAGTTCCCTGGCCCCTATACATCCTGCTTGTGAATATGTCCTTGTTCTGAAAGAAATAAAATCTTTGGTAACTACTGTGCCTAAGCCCATCATTGTATGCAGTGTGCAGATGTTTCCTCCACCGACATCAACAATGACAGCAATCAAAGTGTTTATGCCTAGGAGAATGGGGAATTTAATGTACAGAAGTATTGTATAGTTAAGTTCTCTGTGAACTGGCAGAAGGGGTTCAACAATTCCATCATTCAGGATAACTGTTTTCCCATTAATATGAGGTTTGTGGTCATACAGCATACTAAAACCTATCTGGAATAATATTTTTTTTTTCTACACCTTCAGGAAGTGCATTTGAAGAATACAAGTAGAGGGAACACAGGAAACAGAAACTACAGAATGTAAGAACATTCCATCCACAAGAATGAAGAATGAATGTGCCATCTGCAGGATACTTTGCTGTAAATAAATTATTTCTTAAACATTGGAAGACTTAAAAAAACCTATGGTTTAATAAGCTTGATGCAATCTCAACCAATGGGCATTCTCCCAGTGAACAATGCAACTAAACATTCCAATATTAAGTCTTTAGAGAACAAAACATTTTAACCAGCCCAGAGGTAAAAAAATCTGTGGTTGATATATTACTGTCTGTTAACCTGTTTTAAATGTCCTGCACAAAATCTCTTAAAGTCCTGTTCCCCTCAAAAGCCTAGAAATTTATGGGCCTTTGATGGATCCAATTGCACTAAATTAACCTATGAACACTGGCTGCTGGAGTCATTCATCAGCCTTGTCTAAGTGGTGGTTTTTTTATTTGCACTTCTATACAAGCAACAGGCTGTTTGTTTTACAGTGTCTGATAACATTGTTTGTCTACCCCTTCATATTTGCACAGTTTGACATTCCCAGTGACAGCAGCAGTAAGGTAACATATACAGTTTTAAACATCCATTAATTCCATCTGTGGCATTTTGACAGTATATGGGTTATAGATGCATTTGTTTTAATCTTTCCTTCTCTTGCAAAGATGCAGTTTATTGCAATTTGTAAGACAAAAGATTTTTAAAAGCAGTTAAAGCATACATAGGCTCTCAAACCATTAATGATTCTTACAGGTAAATATTTTGCAACAGTATAGCTAACTTCTTTCTTCCTCCATATAATGCAGTATGTAAAATTTAGCATAACAATAATACACATATATCAAACAGTATGTAAAAATCTCTGTTTTATAGTACAACGGTGCTATTTTATAGTTTGTTACATGAAAGGGTCTGGCCAAAACAGTAATAGGTAAAAGCAAATATGAAAAGGTCAAGCCAAACTAACAAAACCGTTTTAAAAATATTCAGTTTAAATGAACTAAAGTTACTTCAGATTCCAACGTGGAAATAACTTCCCCATCTTCAAAAGAAAATTCAGATCCTTATTTCCTTTTAGATGTTTGATTGTTGGTGTTTTCACTTACAGTAATGTAGAACACAAATTCATAGAAGACGATTTGAAAAACAGTCCTCAAATGACTTCAAAGGGTAGCCCATCAGGGCCTAAATCTTTCTGAAATATCAGCATTCTATTCGAACATAACAGAGGTTACTAAAATTCTCTGCCATTTTGATTCTTCCCACAAGCAAATGTGACTAAAGTGAGTGTTAATTCAGCTGCTGCATCTCTCTGTAAATCAGAAAAGCTAATCTAATCACCAAATTACACTGTGGAAAGAATCCTCAAGAAGAGATGAACTGTAATGTCCTTCAAGCTGCTACTCACAATAGCTTTTCCTGCACTCTATTGGGACATATATATATTTCTGGATAATCTCTGCCATGTAGCCTTGATAGGTACTGCACTAATGAATAACATCTTAAATAACACTGTGTCCTATGCTCCATTCTTGTAAATTAACTCTGTGCTAAATTGGCCATGCAGTAAAAGGGATGGGTAGCCAACAGTGTCCCAAGGTGAGCAATAAACTTCTCTGTGAGAGAAGAGAAGAGAAGGCAAGGGAAAATGCACTGTTCCATCATGTCCAGAACTGCAATGTGTTTCTACTTGAATTCTTCCTCCCACATCACCTTGCATGCAATAAGTTCAGACAAGAGATGAAGTATCCCTTGGTCCTCCCCAAAGAGGGAAAGGACAATACTGTATGAAGGGACCAATTAGGGAAATGTTATATTAGATCTGTAAAGGAAGTATCTCTTTTTAAAGGCTCAAATCTGCCTTACTTTCTACTACATCCATGGGAGTGGATGACCAAAGTACCGATTAAAACACAAGAGAAGAATCTCTGCAGACTGCATATTGTACAGCTCCTCAATAGTTTCTTGTGAAACAGACAGGAAAGGTAGGTTTGAAATGTCTAACAAATTACTATAGTTCCTTTTTAATTCTCATAGAAAATTTAGCCTTTGTACTTTTCCCAGGAAAATGCAATGTATTCCTATGCAATTCTTTAAACCCTTCACTTTCTGCAAGATGCATGTTTATAGGCTGCTATCGCAACGCGAAAGCAGACCAGTAAATGAATAAAAAGAATACATCACAGCTGTCCCTGACTGAGATAGTTATCTTGAAAAAAGAAGTACAGAGAAACAGATGGGGAAACCTAAATTATTTACCACCAATTAGATAAACAGTGGTAGGAATTCTGATATCTATCACAGCTCATACAGGCCTTTTTTTGGAGGAGATGATGGAGAGGGAAGTATTGTTACTTCAATTGCTGTTAAGAATTCTGAAATTCATTCAAAGAATAAGCCATTATTTTGATATCACAGACATAAGACATATTTCCATTTCGTGCCTTGTGACTCTTTCTGTCACCTACCTCCTCCGAAGTTCTTAGAAGAGGAGGGAAGAAAGGTGTGAATGCAAAAAGCAATTCATAGATCTCTGTGGTGGCAAGTTTCTTTGCAGATAACCGATGCACTATTAGCATAACTGAAAAACCATACATCATTGTGCTATTTAATTCCTGTAAATTAATTCGAATTTTGGTCTTATCTTGGGACTCATGCACTCACATTCATAGCACCATATTTCTCCTGTTGAGAAAAAATAATAAGAAAATGTCACTCATAGACGGCAATTCCTAAAATCACAACTTGACAGCTGTCTAAAAAATTAGAACAATTCTTGAAAGAAACTACAATAAATAAAGAATAGCTACAACCTTCAAAAGCAACACTTTGCTTTACTAGAGAATAAATGGTATCACAAAATTGAGAGTAGTTCCACCACCATGGAGGTGAGAAACACATGGATGGGAAATGCATACTTGTACAAGAAATCTCCAGTCATATGGCAGGGAGCACATGATATACCAGTCAGTGTGAAAGATAAAGGGCTGCATTAGCTTAATAATCTCAATAAATTCACTGCTTAAAGAAGCTGAAGCATAAGCCAAAACATCTCCTTCACAAAAGTACAAAGTAGTCTGACTTGAAAAACTTCTAATTAGAGAAACTGAAGGGTTCAGCTGGATTTTCAAAAGCACTCCAGATACAGGGCTCCCACTGGATGCCATTAATTCTCATAAATCACTTAAGTGGTAGAGAAAATCCCACTCCCTGTCCTTCCATATCATGTAAGTCACACGAGAAAAGTCAGAGATTTTTGCATTCCAGAATAGACATAAAACTCCAATTATTACACAGAACATCACTGAAGTGCAGAAGTAAAAGGACTGCAGATCAAAACCCACTGAAGCTAATATATCCCTTCCATCCATATGGCAAAATTTGAGCCTCATCTCCATAGTAACCATAATTATTAAGAATTTAAATGGAAAATGAATACATTCTATATTCTGCTCAAAATACACTTACAAACCTACACTTACATTTGTGTGAAAGATTTGTACGAGGCTCATTTGTACCATCCAGTGGAGAGAAAAGAAAACAAAATAATGGAATACTGCCTTCAGTCCTTGTAGACACATTAAAGTAGGCACCTTTTGACCAAGACAGATTACAATGTCAATGCCTTTTTTAAGATTAAATGGTAAATTAGTGTTAGGCTTTCTTTACAGCAGGGAATTCCATACACAACTAGTAGCTATGTTCAGTTGCCCCACAAGCTGGTCATTGAATTAGTATCAATGGTTAAAGTTGATTGATGAAGACTCTAGGCCAAGCACTCTGTCTTCTTGGCTGTCCATTTTAACAAGCCAGTGCACAATAAGACAAGTTCAGAGAAGCAAATGCATATTTGCTTTACCTGTTACTGATTTGGCCAACAATGCCAAAGTGGTGCTATTGTTTTGTTTAAGAAAGTACTTGACTAAAATATAAAAGAAAGCATAAATATTTTTTTAATGTATGAAAATGACAATTATATAGGTATGGTTATTAAAATAGAAATACAAGTAGCCATAACTTTTCAACTTTTTGTCACTCAGCAACAGCAAAGGAATCTTAAATCAATAGATATGGGGCAGGAGTAAGAGTCAAAATGCCACAAATAATTAATATACTTGAAATGCAATTCTGAATCTTTACTCCAAGTCAGAAATACAGATTAAGAAAAACATTTAAAGTGAAGAAACAATTGATATGACTGAAAGCCTGTTCAGATTAATTTGAGTCCTATATCATACCAAAGATTTTTAAGCCACAATCTAGCCTGAAACAGCGTAGAGTTTGGCTTAAAGTCAGCAGCATGATATGATCGAGATTTTTACTGAGCACATGTTTTTATTTTTACCTGATTATCTTCTCACTCATGGCATGCCCCCCAAAAGCCAACATTCTTTAAAAAAAACAGCACAAAGAAATGCATCTGATTTTAACAAGGAATGAAAAAATAAATATTCCTAACATGAAACTGAGGCTATTTTAATTCTCACAAGTTTCAAATTGTGAGAAAAAGTTGAAATATATGGCTAGCAGTCTGTGATATTTTTTTTTTTACTTTATGTGGTCACTATCAATATTGTAACGTGCAAAATTTCACATTTCATTGTTCTGTTTTGAAATGATGATAAGTTAAGCCCAAATAGAGATTCTTGGAACCTGTAGGCTAGATAGAATACTTATGTTCTGATGAAGGTATAATCAATATATTTAAAATGTTTTATTTTTAGTCTGAAAAAGAATAGTAATAATTTATTTGGGGACTCAATCTATACTGGTCCCTCTTTTAAGGATACTGTTCAGTGCAAACAAGTCTTCCAAACACCAAACTTCTCTCCAAAACCAACATTCATTCCTCCCTCCCCTCCACCCAGCAAACGTAGTTAAAACACTATTGCAACATAATTTTATTGTTTGTCCGTTTGTTTGGGGGATAGGGGTGTTTTGTTTTCATTCACTATGTTTTGACTTGGGGGCAAGAGTAAGGAGGAGGAGATGAGGCTTTCAAGTGACTAAGATTTTTTCCTCTCGGGTACAATCCACAAAAAATAAAGAATTTGCCTGTATGAGATTATTAATTATCCAGTTCATGTGTGGAAGTAGCATTAAGTAAAGTAACTAGATTAAAGTTGTCTTGAAAGAAGGAAAGAACGTTATTAACACAAAGTTTTTACTCATTCTAATCCTACACTATACATTTTACTTCTCACAACAGTGGAAAATTCTACTGGACTATAACTGTCCGAAAACACAGTATCTGATATACATATAAATCTTTGATTTTTTACATGAAGGGTGTTATGGGAATATCTGAAACTTGATTACATGTAGTACAGTATAGAGATACCAGTCTGGCAGAGACCAAAACAAGGACCTCCCTGATGCTTACATTGGGAAATCTATTAC